TATATATATATATATATCAATTAGTTAGAATGGTGCCTAAGATTATTATTATTATTTAGGGTAGGATGAGTGCTCAAATCCGACTAATTAATAAAGTTTGTTTGGGACAGCTTTCTAACTACTTTTTAAAATAACTTTATAGTAAAAAAGTTTTAATTAAAAAAATTTTAGACAACTATTTTTTCTCAGTTTTTTGGAAATTTTTATAATAAAAACAGCGTTATAAAATAATAAGAAAAACATCCCGAACAAAATTTTTTTTACTATTTTTAAAAAAACCTTTTTAGTTTTGTACTCGAAAGTTGCTTTATGAAGTGGTAGGAAAACCATACTGCTTTCTAAAGCAGCTTTTTAGTATAAAAATTTCTTGAGTTAAAAAATTTTATACTAAAAAATTATTTTAGCAAATGAATAGAAAGCTATCCCTAACAAAGGCCTAGTCTCTTGACTACCAAAATTAATCCAAAAGGGTCTCTTGGGATTAAATTAATTGGGATTAATTTTATATAATCTAGAAGTTAAGTTTAGATTATATATAATCAAATGATCAAATTAGATCAATGTGATAATCTGAGACTAAATTAATACACACACAAATAATCTAAAGACTATTTGAGATTATATATGTAGTTGCGTTCTGGAATATTCGAGGTGGTAGAGAAATATAAAGTTTAACATCTTAGCTTTATACGAAGATCCATCACACAATCAGCTAAAATAGAGAGAGAAAATTTATTAGAGACACCAAAATTTTTACTAGGAAAACTCTGAAAAGGAGAAAAACCATGGGGCGTAACCCAACTTGAATGAATAAACCATTATTTGCAATTGATTACAAATGAGGCCATTCATTGTAGGGAAGGTCTTGGCTTAATATGGCAAATATATATTATATAATATGCATTACATGATGGGACTTGAAAGAATCACTATTGATATATTTGTTTGGTCGGTAGAACCATAGTCGGTGGGTAACCGAGGTCATAAAGACCGTAGTTTGGTGATGGTGGTCAGAGCGACCGTAGTCGGCGGGCGACAATTATCAGAAAAGACCGTTGTCTGATGACGGAGGATGGAAGGATCGGAATCTAGCTATGGAGGTCGGAAGGTCTGTAGTCGGCAGACGATAGTGATAAAAAAGACTGTTGTCTGGCAACGGATGTTGGAAGGACAGTAGTTGATAGGCGGAAGGACAGTAGTCGACAGATAATAGTTGCCAGAAAGATCGTTGTCTGGCGATGGATGTCAGAAGGACCGAAGTCGGTTGGCAACGAAGGTCGGAAGTTCGGCGATGGGCAGAAGTCTGGCATCATGTAGAAGTTCAACAATGGACGGAAGTCAGGCGTTAAATAGAAGTCCGACGGAAGTTCCGCGCCGGGTAAAAATCTGGTGACCAGCGGAGGTCTGGTGTTGAGTAGAAGTCTGTCGAAAGTTCAGAGTGGGGTAGAAGTCTGACTGCGGATGGAAGTCCGATATCGGGTAGAAATCTGAGGAAAGTCCATCGACTGACAGAAGTTCGGTGACGGGCGTAAGTACGACATCGGGTAGAAGTCTGACAATAGACAAAAGTTCGGTAATTGGCCAATGTTCGGCGTTGGATAGAGGTCCAATGAAAGTCCGGTGACGGATAGAAGTCAGATGACGGACAGAAATTTGACGACGGGCATAATTTCGGCAAAGGTCCATTTTACTATAATGATCAAATCATATAGTTCTCAAATAAAAATACCTTACACTGTTTCTTAATTAAAATACATTACTCTGTATCTTAATTTTTCTTCACCCCCCTGCATAGAAACTCTTTTTCGTATTAAAATAGAGCCGACATCCAATTCAAAAACCAACTCAAACAGTCAATTAATTTTCCAACTTCCATTAATTTACAAATACATAAATCTCCATAGTGGGAGAAGTTAAAAAGCCTAAACTTTTTCACTAATAGGACCCATCCATAATTACGTATTTCTGAATCATCAGAATGATACACAAGCTTAAAAAAATTTTTAATCTCTCAAATTAATCCCACTTATTGGCTAACAGAAAGCCAAATAACCATTAAAAAGGCTTCTAACACTCACTGCCTATCTACCTATAAATACCCAAGTTCTGCAAATTTCTCTCATCACAGCACAAATTGTTAGAGATTGAGAAGAATTGGGAGAGAGAATTAAACAAAGAAGATGGCAGAGCTGATCACATACCCACCAAGAAATAGCTTTTCTTCCAATGAAATTCATGACATTGAAACAGTTCAGAACACCATAGCCATGGATTCTGATAACCATTCTTATCATCTTCCCAAGAGATTTACTCTAACTTTCCCTCCTTTCCTTCTCAGAAAGGTAAGATACAGATCAAGATTTAATTTCCATGAGTTTTATCAGTTATTATCGATATAAATATTATTATTTATGGATTTGTAGATTGTATCAGAGATGATAGCCACATTTCTGCTTGTATTTGTGACTTGTGGTGCGGCTGCATTGAGTGGGAGCGACGGCGCTAGAGTGTCGCAGTTGGGCGCCTCCATGGCCGGCGGGCTGATTGTGACGGTGATGATATATTCTGTGGGGCATATTTCTGGAGCTCACATGAATCCGGCGGTCACGCTGGCCTTTGCGGTCTCGAAGCATGGCCAGTTTCCTTGGATTCAGGTGGTGGGGATCAATAGCTAATCATTAATGAGAATATATTTCAGAAATCTTAGTTCTTCCATATAGCTCACTGAAAATCACCGATTACGATTACCAGCGGTAATTCCGACGGTCAAAAAGCCGTTGGAATTACAGACAGTTGAACCGGCGTGTGACTGCCGGTTTCAACCAACGGCCGTGTAACCGCCGGTTTCAACAGGCAGTTTAATCGCCAATTTTTAATAATAAACCGCTGGAAATACCGGTGGTAAAATAACCATAGGATAGGCCCCCAGTTTTTTTGTTTGGGCATCGGAATTTACCGGATGTTCTGGTCGCCGGAAAGCCATCATAACGTTTAGCCGCCGAAAATGACCGCCACAATTTGTTTCCTACGCGTTTTATACCGGCAGTTAATAGACTGCCATAAACTGTCGGTATATTGTCTAACTGCCGGAAAAGTGATATTAACTGCAAGAAAAATGCTGCCGATAATTGACAATTTTCTTGTAGTAGTGACTTAATAGTACTACAAATCTCCAGGTCCCCTTCTACTGGCTAGCACAAATAAGCGGTGCGACAGTATCCTCGTTCGTCCTCAAGGCTATGCTGAATCCTATAACAAATCTTGGGACTACAACACCTTCAGGCACATCGCTGCAAGCACTCATCATGGAGGTTGTAGTCACCTTCTGCATGATGTTTGTGGCTTCTGCAGTTGCCACTGACACTAGAGCAGTGAGTTCCTTCATCAATATTGTCTACTTTTTCCTTCTCAAACTCTTCTTTCCGGTACTTATTATTCTGTGCGGAATCCGGAGGGTGTCTGGAGACCAATAAAAATACATCACGTCACCCTAAAAATGTACGTACCACGCTCGGTACCGTGTTCACTACCCTGCCCTCGGTACCGAGTTTGGTAACCGCCCTTACCAAGTTCGGTACCGAGCACTTAACCAGACAGGAGAACGGTCCGGAATCCGCACAGAATAAAAGCTCCAAGTAGTAGAGCTTACAATGCATTGATTATGCTTCTTCTGTTGGAAAACATGCAGGTAGGAGAGTTAGCAGGTTTAGCAGTTGGCTCCTCTGTCTGCATCACCTCTATTTTGGCAGGGTAATTAATCAATTAGAAAAGATATACAGCACGACATAGCTACTAACAAATGAAAATGAAATTAAAGCTTCGTTTGGAAGCACTTTTTTACTGCTTCTTAAAACAACTTTTTAATATAAAAGTTAAAATTTTTATACTCAAAAACTGTTTTAAGAAGCAGTAAAAAAAACGTCCCAAACGAAGCCTAAATTTACGTCTCCAAGAATAAGTAGCTAAGATGTTGAGTTCTCATATTGCTTGATGGAAATTTGAATTTGTGCAGGCCAGTATCAGGAGGATCAATGAACCCTGCAAGGACTCTAGGACCAGCACTTGCTAGCAAGCGGTTCAACTCACTCTGGGTCTACTTTTTGGGACCAGTTATTGGCACATTATCTGGAGCATTTTCTTATAACTTTATAAGACTTGACAAATCGCTCATATCGGAGTCACAGAGGATGTCATCTTTCCAGCTTCGTCGATTGAAAAATAAAGAAGTGGCAAACCTTAATGCTTCAGATATTTCTTAGTTTGATGAGCTACATAGGCTTTTTATATAAGTTGAACTGTTCTAAGATTGATGTAAAATAAATTTTTATTTCTCTAATAAAGTCGAAAATTAGCTATGGACGTACGTTGAATCAATTTTACAATCAGATCATATAATGATAATATACTTTATCTTGGGACTACAGCACCTTCTGCCTATTGCTGTTGGATCTCTGCCCGGCCGTCATCCTCCGTTGTAGCCAATTACGATCCCTCTAACCACCGTCGTCCGCCAACTACAACCCCTCCGACCTCTATCACCCGTCGACTACGGTCCTACCAACCAAATGAACCGGCCAACAAACTCTTGAGAACAACTCTCATATCACTAGATTCTTCCATTTCCCATCATATAATGTGCTTTGTATGATGTATATTTTCTACATTGAGACAATACCTTCTCCCAAGGAAAAGCCCCATTTGTAGTCAACTATAAACACTAGTGGATTCTTTTCAACTAGGCCAGACCCCATGATTTTTTCACTTGTCAGGGATTTCCACGTCAAAATATGCGTCTCTTATGACTCTTGCACCTCTATCTCTTATTTGTCTCTGTGCTAGATTTTTATATAAAGCTTGGACACTTAACTTTAATTCTCTTTGCCGCCACAAATGTTCAAGACCCGACAAGTTTAAAAAAAAATTGTAATAAAAAACTTCTTTAACAAACAGTAAGAAAGCTGCTTATATTGCACCTCAAAGATCTAATTAGATCTTTTATCAAGAATAGAAAGAAAATCTAATTCCAATCGGTCTGTGCCTGATCTTGACGCTCTATCCGCACCTGCAAGGCACCAACCTTCTCTCGCGCACAAGATCTCACCAAAAAATCTTCAGAAAGACCTATGTGCTGCTCTTGTGCTCAAGATCTTACGAATGACCAAAGCCCGGCCGAAAGACACGAACAAGGGACCGAAATAATCGGTCCCTTTAGCTATGTGAGGTTTTAGAAAAAGATTTAGGTGCCAAATGACGCATGTGCCCTTAACCCTAACATTTTCTTTAAGACTTAGAAGGGCAAAATAGGAACTTTAGGAAAAATTTTACTTAAACTAGCTTCGGCAATTTATATCTTCCAAGCAGAGCGAAATTATGTATAAGTTCTTTATACCATTTTGCTCGAAATTTTGAGACGAATCTAATGAAATTTATTTCGTCGAATTCTGACGCCGTCGAAATTTCACTTAAGTTCGTCGCGGTGCATCGATATGCGTGCGACGCACTCAATTGAGCGAAATTAGGTATAAGTTCTTCCAAGCGACTAGCATACTCTGCCATCCGCCTACTTCCCGTTGGTCTCGATCATGCATCCACCCTACACCCTGCCCACATCACTTCTGCCTTATGCCTCGTGTCCAACGCATATCCACCCATGCCCACCTTTCATGAAACCACAACCCTCCTCACCGTGGAAGTCTACTCAGCTCCTCGACACGTGTACCACTCGTGTAACCCAAACGCCAGCCTCTACGTTCTCAACCCAACCCTTCTCCATGCACGAACACAACCCACACGAACGGTTTCCTAGCGCAAAGTTGTAGTATCTGTCGAAGCCACCTGGTTTTGTTCGCACACATGCCTCATTTCTTTCTTGGATAAGAACCCTCCTCCACCTTCACCTAGCTCTGATATCACTTATTGGATTCTTAGGAGGGAGAAGAAGCTCCTTGAGCTTCTTGGAAGAGAGAGAGGGAAGAGTGGAAAACATAAGAAGAGAAAATTTTATTCACTTTTCTTGCTCTCTTAAAGCTTATTACAACCTTTATATATATATATATATATAGAGAGAGAGAGAGAGAGAGAGAGAGAGAGAGAGAGAGAGAGAGAGAGTTTTATTAGGATAAAAATGAACCAAGAAAACAACTATCCTAAAACTAGGCCAATTCCTAACATAACTTAAGTATTAGATCTTTATATAGAACTGTTATAAAAATCTTGGAGGAACAGAGCTTTCTTAAAGAGAAGTGGGACAATAGAGTGAGAGAGGTGGGCTTACAGCTTTTGGAGAAGAAACATAACAATTCATTATTATTTCCCCTGAACAGGAAATAAATATAAGCACCCTATTCACGAACACATTCATATAAAAAGGACTAGACCATCTCCCTAACACTAAAACTATGAAACAAAAACTAATTACAAATTGGATCAAATACTAACAATTTTTATTTTGATCTAATTTTACAATACTGAAAAAACAACTGTTGTCCACAAATAACTGTAAAAAAAAAACTTCCTCGTCGATTGTCTCTTCTCCTCCACCTGTTTGCTCAAACTGTGCCTGCTACGACGTCCTGACTCTACTTCCAATCCTGCGTCAGCCCTGCTAGGTGATCTAGCTTCCATTCCTATGAGCCCGTCTCCTGTGCCTGGCCCAAACTCCCACATGATCTTCTCCCTCATGTGGCTTTCTCCCTTCGACTTGCCTCTTCAGACCCAGGCCCGCAAACACTCCATTGGAGTTGCCCTTATCCAACAACAGGTCCTTGTTCTTCTTCTTTTGTTGTCGATTACCTGTAGCTTTCTTGCCTTTATACCAAGTGCAACCACTCTCTAGATGAGCTGCTTCTTGTTTCGGTCACTAGAAAAAAATGAGCAATTGGAATTCCTTCTCCTCTCCACCTAGATAGGGCTTTCAATCTTTTACTCCCTCTATCTTTGGCCAGAAATCACAAGGAGAACCAGTTGCTCTGTCTTGCCCCTGCTCCAGACCTTGATTCACGTCCCAGGTCACAGTCACCACTCTGCTTAGATGGATCAACTCTATCAACTATAGAGAATGCAGACAAGAAGCCCCTCCTAGTTTTCACGATTTATTCCTCCTTGCCACATGATCTCTGTGCACAGTCTAGTCTTGCTCTCTCGTCCTTGTCTCCCTCCCAGTTGCCCCTCTCACCTAGTTCGACTCCCAGGTTACAAAAATAGCCTTCGTTCGCCTCAGGTTCGCAACCATGCCCTTGTCCGGCTTGCACCCATTTTCCGCGTGCAACACTCTTGCGCTTCTTGCCGGTCCACGCACCTGCTCCTATATCGCTCACCCACGCTCATGACTGGCCCGCCCACCCACTTGCTTTCGTGTGGTATGTCGGCGCTTCTGCGTCCGTCACCCGCAACCAACTCTCCTGTGCACCTGGAATTTTTATTAAGTCCGGTGTCCTAATGTAGCTCTATGTTCGGATGCTAGTAAAATGGTGCTACGTGCTCTTAGTCTTTACCGTGCGGCCCGACGACCCGACCTAGACCGGACCTGGGATTGCTATGTATTGGCTGATTTGTGCAGACCGAGGTATTGCTAGGTATTGCTCGATATTGCTCGGCAGTAGTGAGAAATATCATTATGTTAAGACCAATATCGGGCAATACCGAGCAATACCCCGATTTTACTAGGTATTGCTAGGTATTGCTCAATATTGCTCGGTATTACTAGGTATTGGTCTTGACAGAGCGGCATTTCTCGTTATTGTCAAGCAATACCAGATCCCGGTCCAGGTCGGGTCATCGTGCCGCACGGTAAAGAGTAAGAGCACGTGGCGACATGTTATTGGCCTCCGGATGTAGACCTACGTCTGGTGTCAGGACCTAATAATTGTTCTTGAGCCTGAGCCGCACGACCACCTCCCGCTACACGCCGGACCATCTCCTGTACGCACCTGAGAACCACTTCCGTCTTCCACGGCTTATTTTTTATTACAAGAAACTTCTTGCTTGATCACCTCCACCAAGCTCCGATATCAACTATTGTGAAAATCTTAAAGGAAGAGATCTTTTTTTAAGAGAAGTGGGGGAATATAAGGAGAGGGGTGGGTTCACAACTTTTTGGAGAAAAAACAGTACAATTATTTATTCTTTTCTCATCTCTTGGTAACAAATACGATCCCCTTATTTATAAACCCATTCCTTTAAACGGACTAGACCAACTCACTAAATTTGAAACTAAGAATCAAAAACTAATTACAAATTGGATCAAATACTAACCAGAATTAATTTATTAAAATCTTTATTGCCAAAAGTTTTCTAACACATCGTATATGTATCTAAATACATGCATGTTGCACTATTTTTAGAAATATTGTACCATTCAAAAAATATATATTAAATAAAGTTTAAATATTTATTATATTATTATAATTGAACCTTTAAACCTAAACTAATATATTATTCTTCAAATTTAATGTCTTATACGATTGGTTTTGGCTAAGTGTAAGTTTGAAGCATTCTCTCTATATGAAGGCGAATTATTGCGTCCGGTCACTGGATGTCCGGACATCCAATCCGGTGACACCATGTCACCCAAATACACTGGGTCCCGATGTATTTTAGTGACGTGGCAACACCGGATTGATGTCCGACACCGGACGCAATAATTTGCCCTATGTGAAGGCCGCATATGATCTATGGCTTTTTATTTTATTTTATTTTGATATATGATATACTTTTAAGACTCTTGTTCTTGGTGTAAACACACACTTTGATGACGGCGTTAATTGCGAAGACTTCAACATGGAAGATTCAAATCAATGGCTTTATAAATAATTAAAATGGTGTAGACTTTGTAATCAAACATTATGCGAGTCTACTCCATTTAACAATGTTTTCATCTTTGTTGTGCAGTGAAAAAATATTTATGACACAGGTCAAGAGGTCGGGTTCGAGTCCAATCTGAATTTGACATGACACAAACCGATCAACCGAAATTCAATCAACTAGCAATCTGAACTTAACTTGATAATCTATTTTAATTGAACAAATATTTGTTATTAGCTTATTAATCATAGATTTTAGATTAATTGTCTAAAAATAAGAAGATTACATCAATAAATAAAAAGGTTTAATAAAAATTATTAAATTTATTTTGGGATCAAAATAAGGTTGGCGGGTCAATCTGAACCTTGCCCATTTAATAAACAGGTCAAAATACATGATTAGAGTCTCACCCTTTTATTAAAAGGGTCAACCCGAATCAGAATTTTTCTGATCTGAATCCTGCCCATTTAATAAACAGGTCAAAATGCATGATTAGAGTCTCAC